TTTTTTTTAAATGTTATACAGTAAAATCAAGAATGTAATGCGTGGAATGAAGTATCCATAAATTTTTTGAGTGTCTGGGGCTTGGCATAAGCTAAGCTTAATCTTAGCCCGATACAACTATAAATTCAGGATCAAAGATTATGCTAAGCATATACTCAGCTAAGTTTATCGTAACTAAGTCTGAGCAAAGTCAAAGTACGGTCTAGGTAGATCGCAGCCTAAGACGGAATGTCCCACAGCAACAGTAATTAAACTGACTCTGTATACCCCTCTGACCGCAACACATCACTAACTACTGCTATTTAGCGCCAGAAGTAGGTGATATGATGCTATTTACGTAAACGGACTTCTATGTAAAAATCCTATACGAAAAAGGATCCCCACCACCAAAGAAATCGGTGCAGGGAAACCGTTTAGGTAAAAAATGCCGACTTAGCGGGATAGCTTTTTAACAGTCCGTTAAAGTTAGCTGGACATGGGTGACTATATACCCTAATCGCCACGCTAGGCAGGCGGATGGAGAACGCATTTTCAGACGTCTCGCACCTTTGACGGTGTTCCCGTCAGCAGTCTGGGTAATTTAGTCTGACATCAAGTCGTCTCACGTCTAAGCAGGCGGATGGAGAACGCGTTTACCAGACGTCTCGCACCTTTGACGGTGTTCCCGTCAGCAGTCTGGGTAATTTACGTCTGTCATCAACGAAGTAATTAAACCGTTATGTGTTGGTAGCTGTTTAGGCCAAATATAAGCATTTGGAGTTACATCCAATAGCGTGACTCGGCGCATCGTCCGATGGTGTGAGGTGACGTGAGCGCCGCCGCCGGGGGATCGGCGGTGTGCCGCTTCTCGGCGTTCGGTCGGGTGGGCTGAGATCAGTTGCTTGACCGCCGCGGCTCTGTCGACTATTTGTATTGTTTGCGACCGCTGGATCGGTTGCGCGCAGCCAGTTTTGGTTTTGATGGTCTAGAATTTGAGTAATGTGCGCGCCTAATTTACTATCGAAGATTTGGTTCCCTTTAAGACCGCCTCGAATGCAGTGCAGTTACTAGAACAGCGTGGTCGCGTACCGTGTAACCTCTAAATAGTGTCGGTTTTTGTTAGCAAGTTTATGCAACGACGAGGAGTTTTGTTGAGTCTAGAAAAATAGATTGTCTGCGCGAACGCCGGGTCGGTTAATTGTTTTGGAAGTTAATATTGATTGCGATCAACGTCCGGTCTTTGATGCGTGTGGAATTTACTATTACAGTTTTTTCGCTAGACTCGTGAGGTCGCTTTAAGATCGCTTCTATTTTGAGTTATCATTTTAATGCGTTTACGCGATAACGAGGCCTGTCTAAGTGTTGAGTGATTAAATTAACTTACCTTTGTTTGCAAGTAATTTAAGTCAATTTGTATAGTGATTGCATTTTGAAGCGCATTTGCAATATTTAATTTGCTTGTGTGGCCTGTTAATATCGTACGAAAGAATTTAGTTTGTTGTGTGGAACGTTGAACTTTGTGACCCGAGAGAAGGTCACCTTCGGTTTCTAGAAATAATTTGTTGTTAAGTGAAAATGGAAGTTGAACTTTGATTGACCGTTCATTAGTTGTGCCGTGTGTCACGTGTTTGATTACGATTAACGGGGATTTAGTTGAGTTTGAAGTGAATTTAATGTACAATAAAGTTAATAGATTGAAATAGTGTACAATAAAGTTGATAAACTGAAATAGTGAAATGAAGGCAGAAGTCAATTGGTGAACTACGACTGGAGGGAGCGCACATTGGGAGAACCGCAGCTCCTGTGGATCTTCTTTCCGATTAAATCGGGCCGTCAGGTCACACATATACACACTACTATACACTACTTACAAGCACATACTTAACGTCTGACCGCGCCTTGGGGTCGGTCCTCGATTCGGAACCCGGTAAGTTCGTATTAATTACCTAGCCTTATATCTATTGTGTAGAATAATTGTCCATAGGCCATTTGGACCCGTCCTCTGTTGCCCGTCGAGGAGGCTACTATGGGCCCTAACCCAGTCGACTTTTGTCGGGGCAACTCATGGCGTGAACAGTAGCCAATTACAGAATATTCTTAAGGGAATAGATGTGCATAATACAAAAATATGCACACTTTGGGAGCAGCCGTCGGATTATATGAAATGTGTGTACTATGTACGATAATATATAATAATGATAGACTCACTACAAATTTGTGTTTAAACATTTGTTCAGCGTAACATTTTTTTTAATATGTTTTATATGATGTAGTGTCAAACAAAGGTATTTCACTGCAACATGTTCTTTGTTTATGCAAACGCGATTCGATACATTGTCAGAAAACAATGTTTAAACATGTTTTTGTGATAAACATTCTCGTCGACAACTTCGAGCATAGTGCTCCCAACAACTACCTACAAAGGTTTGACATGGACGTTATAATGACCTTTGTTTTGTCCATGTTCATCTTAGGACTTATTTGTTGGAAGACACTATTGAAGTCATTGAGGATGGTGCTTAGATACTTCAGCGATTCTGCAATAAGGACTAAATCGTCGGCAACTCCAAGGTGAGTGATGTACTCGCCATTGATTTTAATACAGAATACCTACTTTCCAGTCTAGTGGCTTGAAACCGTCTTCCGATGTAGCGGTGAAGAGTTTAGGAGGTTATAGGATAAAACAGGATGAGGGGATCACCCTGTACAAACGCTTCAGCACTTCCTTATACCGACAGTCAACTTGGCAACGCTGAAGGGACTGCAGCATGCGAGGCAAAGTGGCAGATAGTACTCTTCGGTCTTCTGTACAATTTGCCGAAGGGTATGTATGTGGTCTATGGTACTAAAGCCTTTTTGGAAATCGGCAAGTTCGGGAGGCTGGCAGTCGTCGAGTGCGTGAGACAGTGCGTGTTGCCAGTGATGACATATGGATCTGAGACGTGGTCCTTCACTGCTGGCCGCATGAGGAATCTCAAAGTCGCTCAGCAAGCTATGGAGACGGCTATGCTCAGGGTTTCTCTGAGTGATAGACTTAAAAACGGGGATATCTGCAGTAGAACCAGAATAACCGGCATAGCCCAACAGATTAGTAAGCTGAAGTGGCAATGGGCCGGCCATATAACTCGTAGAACCGACAATCGATGGGGAAGAAAAGTTTTCAAGTGGAAGCTACGTGTAGGGCGTCCCCTCACTAGATGGAGTGACGACCTGGTAAAACATGCAGGAAGTCAATGGATGCAGGTGGCTCGGGACCGTGCTTTGTAGCGTTCCTTGGGGGAGGACTATGTTCAGCAGTGGACTTGTGAAGGGCTGTAATGATGATAATGATGATGGTGATAATCATCATCACTTGATTTCGAAAACAATTCACTTCATCGCTCTATGCATACACATATAATTACTCTAAGAAAATAAGCAAGTACATTAAATAAAAGAAAATAAGAAAAAACATAGGTTACGTTCATGCCAATGTCAAACACATAATAGTTTGTGGTCAAACAGTCGCGCAGAGAAGAGGTCATTGCGAAAGGCTATCACTATAAACGTCCTAATTGTCGTCAAAGAATTTTAAAACGTTGCTAACAATTAAATAAAACGAACTGAGTTCTTGCAAAACTTATTAAAATCTTAAGTGCAAATTTTATTCTCTAGCTTAACACTCACTTATACTTAGCGTGAGAGGCTTAGGTAAGTATTTACACATACTTAAACCATGATGTGTTTTTTAATTACACATGTTTCTTCATTATTTTAAGTACACTACCCGCTGTTCTTATATGAATGTGCCAACACTTACGAACATTTAATAAAAGAACAAATGATGTCAATTAAGTAACATGTAATCTCATATTATATTGAATAAAAGTTATTCTATTCTATTCAAAATAAAACTCAAAACTATTTATTCAATTTGGGCTTGTTTGTAATCTAATATCTTTATATATAAAAATTACGTGTCACGTTGTTTGTCCACAATGGACTCCTTAACTACTGTACTGATTTCAATGAAATTTTGCACACTGTGTGCATTTTGGTCCAACTTGAGAGATAGGATAGTTTTTATCTCGATAAATAACCCTCAAAATTTTTTATTGCGAATTTAAGGATTTTTATAGGAAGGGTCGTTGGAAAGCGCAGAACAACGTCTGCCTGGCGAGCTAGTATTATATAAATTACTGACTGTTTGTTCGTATTTATTGCACTGCCATCCGTTCATCAGATTGTGGCAAAACTTTGTTAACTTATTGCTTGCACTTGCGTGAAGGTCAAAGACATAATACAATTAACTCACAGTAAGCGCATCGTACGGACAAATTTATTTGAAAGTTATATATCATTCCATTTCAATGAATATATTATCATTCCTAATTCCTAATCAAACAATATAACTCTTTCAAATTTAAATAAAGAAAAGAAAATAAAGAAAAGAAAATAAATAAAGAAAAATAAAGTTAAGAAATAATGTCCACAATTATTTCTTCTGCGGCAGCAACACGTCGGGTATTAGCCAGTTGTATTAAAAAAATATATTATTGTATTTTATGCTTGTAATAACTTTTTTATGCATTTTGGGTCAGAATTTGTTTTTCACGCTCTAGAAGGTAGGGCCAGGTGGGGTAAATGCGAGTACCATAACTAGAATAATATATTCAACTGTAGACAACTTTTTTTTTATAAAAGCATAAAACTAATAATTACCATGTGTATTAAGCATTTAGTAAACTAAAGTTTTATATAACTTCTTAAATAAAAATAAGTTAACAGAACTTTACCAAAGTTTAAAAACAAATGGTTCACTTATTACATTTACCCAGAGAACAGGGTCAAATGTAATAATGATGCTCAGTTTATTCAAACTATAGATAGTTTTAAATCAGGGGTAATAGCAATAAAATACTAAAGTTAAATTGACTTTCAGTTTTTATTTCAATGAAATCAAGTGAAAACTTACAAAGTTATGAACTTTTCCTTAGAGACTACAAAATTAGTCTTAATTAGGTAAAGCATTGCAAGGAGTTTTATAAAATAATCATCTTTCTAAATTTAAAATCAAAGTGTATTATGCCACGCTCACTTATGTCAGGATTAGGCAGTATTTTGACAATGGAATCAGCGGTAATTAAATCCACATCCTCTATGGTTGGCCATGCAAAGGTTGCGCCCTTGCGGCGTACAAACTTAACCTCCCGACGATCATCTTTCTTTTTTTGCACGAAGCCTACATAATATTTATGTCCTTTTATCAAAGTATATTTAACGATCACCCATTTATTAATACCGATATTCGGTTCAGTTTCCTCCTCTATTTCATTTTCTTTGTTCATGTTTGGCATTGTATTTTCATCAACTGACTCAAAAACTTCAAGTTCAGCTTCTATACACTCGCTTTCGTTAGATTTAGCATAGTGTACTTCATTTTCTGAACCTACATCAGTACTGTTATAATCTGAATCTGCAATCTGATTTTTTTCCTCCTGTCTTACTTATTGCTCTATTGTTTTGGTCTTTTTATTTCCGCCTACATTTTGTTTTTCCTTTAACACTTCAATCATTTTAGCAGACGTAACCACTTCTGCACCAGAAGCCACCTTGCGTCTTTTTTGTTTAATTATAGGCTGAGGTTTCTGCTGTATAGTTGACCAAATTATCTGTTCTAATGATATTGTTGGCGCGGTATTAAGAGCCTGTACCTCATTCAACTGTACGAGATTTTGTAAATCTGCTCCGACAATGGATGGTATTGTGGGAATGGTCTCTTCCTCGGTAGCTGGTAGGATCGAGGGTGACAAGTTATTAGAACGAACCAGATTAGGATCCTGTTCGTTCGAATAACTCGCCTCATTATCTTTTGCAAGCTATCCAGTAAGGTGCTTCTCCCAGCGCTTTATAGCTTCTTTGGAGAAATTTTCTTTTGGAACGACCTCAGAATTAAATGAATATATTCCTGATTTTCTAAATCCATTCATGATAAAGTCTTCACTGACATTGATCCAAGTCTCCTCCAAGAACTGTGAGGACAACGCTTTGGGTATCTTTTGACCAATATTTTGTCGCTGCCATGTTGCAATAGTTTGGTCATTTTTGTTTAAAAGACTTAAATACAGAAACATCCAAGGGTTGCACTCGATCGCTTGTGTGGGCTGGCGATTTCAAAATTGTTATTTCATTGGCCAAGGCAGTTTCAACTAACTCTGGAGAAGTATGAGTGGAGTGGCCATCGTATATGACCAAGATTGGCCGTTCGTTTTTTTTTTTTTTTTTTTTATAGGAGAGGGGGCAAACGAGCATGCGGCTCACCTGATGGTAAGTGACTACCGCCGCCCATGAACAACCGCAACACCAGGGGAATTGCAGATGCGTTGCCGGCCTTTTAAAAAGGAGTAGGCTCTTTTCTTGAAGGTCCCTAAGTCGTATCGGTCCGGAAAAATCGCTGATGGTAATCGATTCCACAAGGAAGTCGTGCGAGGAAGAAAACATCTTCTAAATCGCACAGTGGTGGACCGCCAATCATCCAGATGGTGTGGATGGTATCGGGAGTTCTGCCGCGATGTGCGTTCATGAAATTTGGCGGCTGGGATTAATCCGAACAATTCCTCAGAGCACTCCCCATGGTAGATGCGAAAGAAAATGCAAAGAGATGCAACATCTCTTCGCAGTGCCAATGAATCGAGCCGATCGGAAAGGGCTCGGTCGTCGACGATTCGAGCCGCTCTGCGCTGGATGCGGTCAAGTGGAAGGAGCTGGCACTGGGGAGCCCCTGCCCAGAGATGGGAACAGTATTCCATGTGAGGCCGAACCTGCGCCTTGTAAAGTTGCAGGCGGTGTGCCGGCATGAAATACTGTCCCGCTCTGCTGAGCACGCCAAGCTTTTTAGAGGCCAATTTGGCCTTCTCTTCCAAGTGACCACGAAACTGCACGTCACTCGATATGTCGACTCCGAGGATACCGATACTGGCTGAGGCAAGAAGGGGAGTGCCTTGAAACTGAGGAGATACGACAAAGGGGTTCTTTTTAGCGGTAAACGCGCAAACTTGTGTCTTCTGAGGATTAAACTGGACTAGATTTAGTCGCCCCCAATCCGAGACTTTGTCCAGCAAAGACTCGACTTCAGACACAAGTTTGTTCCGGTACTCAGCGACGTTTTCCCGAGAAATATTGGCCCGGCCGGTGTATAGAGCATCACCAGTGCTGTCATCCGCATAGCAATGAATGTTACCAGTTAGCAACATATCATTGATATGCAGAAGAAACAGCGTTGGTGATAGCACACAGCCTTGTGGAACACCAGCGTTAATAGGCTTGTAGTCAGAACATGCACCGTCTACAACGACCTTGATGCTCCGATCTGCAAGGAAGCTGGTGATCCAATTGCACAATTTCTCGGGAAGCCCATAGGAAGGGAGCTTCGAAAGAAGCGCTTTGTGCCAAACCCGATCGAAGGCCTTCGCAATGTCCAGACTAACGGCCAACGCCTCCCCCTTGGACTCTACTGCCTCCGCCCATCTATGGGTCAGGTAGACTAGAAGATCACCAGCTGATCGACCCCGACGAAAACCGTATTGGCGGTCACTGATCAGCTGGTGATCCTCAAGGTACCGGATGAGCTGGCAGTTAATAATGGATTCCATTATTTTGGAGAACAAGGAGGTGATCGCGATAGGCCTATAGTTGGACGGGTCTGAGCGGTCGCCTTTTTTAGGGATCGGGTGGACAAAAGCTGTCTTCCATGAGTTCGGGACAACGCCATGGGAGTAGGAGTACCGGAAAAGACGCGTTAGAACCGGTGCCAACTCCGGAGCACACGTCCTCAGCACAATTGGGGGGATTCCGTCAGGCCCATTCGACTTGTGGATGTCAAGGGAGAGGAGTGCTCTGCGAACCAAGCGCTGTGAGAATAGCACATCCGGCATAGAGCAGTCACACCGCGGGATGGTCGGCGGTGTGTTCCCCCCGTCATCAACAGTCGAGTTGGACGCAAAAAGGGAGCCTAAAAGGTCGGCCTTCTCTTTTGCGTCGTGGGCCAGTGAGTCGTCCTCCCTGTGCAGAGATGGTAGTGATGGCTTACAGAAATTCCCTTGGACAGCCTTGGCGAGAGACCAGAATGCACGGGTTCCCGAAGGAAGGCGAACTAGTTTCTCGCCAATTCTGCCTATGTGCTCTGACTTTGCCTTGGCAAAGGCAAAGTCAGAGCACATAGGTATAGGCCTATCGCGATCACCTCCTTGTTCTCCAAAATAATGGAATCCATTATTAACTGCCAGCTCATCCGGTACCTTGAGGATCACCAGCTGATCAGTGACCGCCAATACGGTTTTCGTCGGGGTCGATCAGCTGGTGATCTTCTAGTCTACCTGACCCATAGCCGTTCGTTACCCAGAGCTGGTATAAGGACTTTTCAAAATAATTTTTAAATATTCCTGTCTCCATCCAATCATTCGGGGTGGCAGCGTAGGCTGTACCAGGGTATTCTTTCTCTGGTGGTGCCTTCGACTGGTCCCATATATTTTTTGCTTTGAAAATTATTAAAGGTGGCGCCCGACCACCAGCAACATTAGCAACCAATACAAAAGTTGTGCTTTCTCTTCCTGATGTACTGACAGCTCTGGATGAGCTTTCACCCTTTTCCAATTCTTGAATTCGACGGATCTATGCTAAGGCAGCTTTGATCTAAATTCTAGATCTGTCTGGGCTTACCTTCTAAGTTAACCTCCATTAAAACTTTTTTCAACAGATTGAAGTATCCGTAGATATGGATCCGTGGCATCCGTTTTTTTTCTGACATACTTCAATGTTTCTGGCTTCCGTACTGACAACTTGTGGCTTGAAATTAAGGAACCAGTCTTCTCTTGGTATGCCTCCTTTAAAAGAAGTTTCGATTTTATTCATCTTCACGTATTGACCTACTAACCCCAAAATTTCTTTTTGACTGAGACCAAAACCCCATTTCGCCAGAGTTTCCACAGAATTTGCCAAAACACTTTCGACGTTCTCAGGAAGTGCAGTCCTACGTCCTTTACTTTTTTTATTGCTCCTCTAGTTCCTTTGTTTCGACAATATAATGTTGCAAATGAAATTCCGTAAAGGACTGACGCCTTATATATAGTAATTGTACCAGCTCTAATTTCATCAAGAGCTCTTTGTAATTTCTCTTTAGAGTATTTAGATTCTAAACCATTCTTTTTGATATAATTTCGCACCATCTAATCTAAAATAAAAATAAAACATTGAAATTACCCCTGGTCATGCAATGACGTTTGTCCCGAAACCTAAATTTCAAGTGGTAAATGTAATAATGGACATAATACAACAATCTGTGGTAGTTTAGCAAAACTTAATATTTACGTGAATTATCATACCGAATAGTATCACAATACTTTAGAAATAAACTTTTAACTTACGTGTCTTTGCAAGATGAATATCGATTTAAAGTTAGGTTACAAATTTGCATAACACGCGGCATCGATATCACTCAACAAATGACGTTTCGTCCACACATCAATCTGTGAAACTGTCACGAGAATTTGTCGATGCGTAGTGCAAAAAGTACTTAAGACATATCAGAGATGTCAGCACTACTTTCTTTAGTAAAATAAATAATAAGCGCATCTCATTACAAATGCCTTGTTATTAAAAATGCCCCACCTGACCCTACTCTATTAGCTATAATTATCGGGAAAAGTAACATTCCGTGTTTGAAATGTAAGTTTTAATATCGCATAATTCCTGTGGGAAATTACGGCTATTTTACGGCTCCACGCGGATTTACATAGATTTAATATGCAATAACTTAGTTGATCAGAATGCGCGGCGATGCGTCGCCGGGCAATCAACACGAGGATCTGATGCTTCCCCGGAGGGCTATTGTCCGTGGTGCGGCTGCAGCATATTAAACAAATGGCGTCCCTCTAAGCAGATTCATTCAACCTCCACATATGCCATGCTCTCCTGGTGGTGGGTATTTATATAATGCACACAAGTTGTTGAGTTTGGTTAAGTGTATATTTCGCTATTAGGATTCGCAAGTAAGGTTCCTTTAAATAGTATATTTCTCAGACATGCAAGTTTCCTCAAGATCAAGATATTTTCTCCACCGACAACGCGATCGTCGAAGTCAGTGTTTTTAAAATTGCAATAAAAACTTCATTGGTGCTGGTGGGGTAGCCTCCCCAGGTTGCTAGTATACTGTGAAATTTACGGCCAGCGCTTAGCTCCTGAGGTAACACGGCTCTTACACAGACGTTTCTTTGAAACTATAGAATCGGACTCTAGCAACATAATGAAATTTAGACTTACGAAAAGTGGACCCATCATAACGACTCCCAAATGGAAAATCTACATTTTCTTACTAAAGTTAATATTCAAAAAAATTTCAATTAGAATACTCGGTTGGAACGAAATTCTCTTCGTGGTATTATTATTGATAAAAGTATTATATTATTGACTAGCTGTGCCCGCGGCGTAGCTCGCGTATACAGGTTTTACATAAAGAATTTGTCGTTTAGGTAAGAGAATATTAAACGATTTATTTCATTACTGTATCAATAAGTGGTAACTAAATAAAACATTATCATCAAAGTTCTAAGTCGTTTATGATAGAGCTTCTGTGTAAACGACGTTAGAAGTAGGCTTACACCACGGGGTGTACACAAAAAGGTTACGGGGGCTACTAACGCGGGAAAAAGCAACATAGAGTTGGCCATGTGCAAAACAGTCAGTACTTAGGTACACTCTACAACGCGTAAAGTTTGACCTTGCGCTTTATTTACGGTCATCGCATAACACACGCTCACTGTAACTGGGAACTGAACTCGCTTAAAACTAAAAGGAAAGTTACTTCTTAATAAAGGGTTTTTGGGCAGTGCTGCCAGATTAAAAAAAAACTCATTCAGCTCTAGGACAACACAAAAAGCGCTAGATTTCATGAAAACAGCGCTTTAAAAAGCCCTAGATTTCGCGCTAAATTAACTACAAACAAAGTTTGTGTTTTTTTATATAATCATAATAAAGAAAACAACATTAAGTTTTTTTTCTGGCAATATTTTTTTGATGTATCAATACTTCGCAGGACATCGACTTATAATTATGGCAATTGCTGTCAACAGTAGTTAGTACTGTACGAACAATAAAAATGTCATTAATTGTTTCAAAGTGCAATGTATTTCGCAACTTAGTTTCAGATGTCAGCATATGATTGCGGTTGCTACACAGTTTCTTTGTGTTATAACTTCTAAGTAACTTTTAACTTAGCTGTGCTCTAAGCAACTGACTGAAACTGAATAAAGTAAAATAAATGCGTTGCCAAAACCATGAACGAAAACTTTAATAAAGGGGATTTCCCCGCTTATAGTCGTCGGTAAAAAAAATCAAGTTGATCATCCTAAAGGGGAAGCCAGGAGATCCATAGCACAGGGTATCCTAGTTTGGACTCGTCTCCCATGCTCTTTGTTTTGTGGAAAAATATGTTTGAAAAAGATAAACTGCAATGTACTATTTGTGGGAAAAAATAATAAAGGTCATTATTATTATTATCGGTAATGTGGACTAACAGTGCTGCAGTAAAAGAGTTAATAACCCGCTAGTCGCTAAAATATTGAAATGTGTGCTAAATACACCAAAAAGCGCTGGATTAAGCTAGGTGCTAAAATTTCGAAATGCGCGCTATACATTCCAAAAAAGCGCTAAATCTAGTTCCCAAAGCGCTAAAATGGCAGTACTGATTTTGCATATTATATTATAAATACAACATCACGACATTTCGTTGCAAAATTTTTATTTTTGGTCGGATTCCGTTGTATGGCTTCGATGGATAAAATTTCTTTAGTAAGTCTCAATACGATTCATCGGCGAAAAATCTCAACACAGCAATTCAGAAAAGTTTGTAATTTGTACAACTCCATCTATTACGTCCTTTTTGTGAGAAAACATCCTTTTTAAATCTCTTTTTGTGTTTTAAGTATAAATATATTAATTATTATGGAACGTTTTTTTACACACAAATCTTTTTATTACTATTTCTGAGATTTTATGGCGCCATTGAACAAATTCGAACCTACATTTCAAAATAATAATCATTACTTTCGATAGAATTAACCAATTTTAATACAACAAAGATTAAATGTAACTCGAAGATACGCTTTATGATTTTCTTAACGATTTCTTTGAAAATAAAAGATGTTTACTTTAGACGTGATGCGTTCATATAATAACAGACAAATAGACAGACAGACAATTCTAAAAATTATAAAATGTTCTTATTTAAATAATTTCCGTTTCCCATAATGATTTTAGCCACCAAAACATAATATATACAATGTACAGAAAGAGACACAACATGTTATCATCATTTTTATTATATGTATATATTTAAAGAGAGATGGCGCTGCTAACATCAATTCTAAAAATAAAAGAGATTAATTGACGGGATTGATACATTATATAAAACGCAAGAGAACTTATAAATCAGTGCCTGCACAGTAAGCAAAAAATAAAGTTTGACTCTCGCCAAAACCAACGCAATTGTAAATAGCTCTTTTAAAATTTGATTTACCACATAGAGTACTCGGCGGTAAAGAATAAATTGAGTTTGTCAACACGCAGTAGAGCAGCGAGTAATATAATAAAGATTAGCAGTAAATATGAAAACTCATCTACAGGAAAAAACCACATTTCAATTGCATTACATTTTCACAACACCACCATCTATCGAAGAAATGGGTTAAATATTGTGCTTCAGATTTAGTTAATAAGGTTAATATATTTTTGTATAATATATTTAATACGTTCTTTAATACTTTTGTTTACTGCGTTTTAGATATGCATAATTATATCATTATTTTACATAATTTAACTATGATTTATGATATGATATTAGTTTAAAATGCACTTGATGACTCAAACAAAGCCACCGTTGAGCAAATTCGTACCTATACTTCCCTACCCGTACTTCAGAATATTTATCGTAACTTATGATGGAATGAACTGATTTTAATGAAATAAAGACTAAATGTAACACGAAGATACACTTTATAATTTCCTTAACAATTCTTATGATATAAATTAGTACTTTATACGTGATACGTTAACAAACAAACAAACAGACAGACAGACAGACAGACAGACAGAAAATTCTAAAAATGGTAGAAATGTATTTAATTACTTATTTTTAGTACCCCTCAATCACTTTTATTACAAAAATATAAAATGTACAGACACCTGCTATTTACAGTTTTATTATATGTATAGATTATGTGATTTATGATTGATATGATTATTAATGATATGATTATTAATGATGAATGAATTACTAGCGTCTATTAAAATGAAGCGTCATTGAAAATGAAATAATATTTCTTTCATAGCAAGATAAGAAAAAGTGCGAGGGAGATGGATATTATTCAATCTCGCTTCCTTATAGACGCCAAGGCCGTCTGCACTACGTTATAAGGAGTCGTGACGAAAAAATTTTACACTTTTTGTCGCCTAGCTCTCATCCGCCAAATCCGTACCGTCCGGTAAAGAACTTCGTTCCAAAAAATTTGGAAGATCCAAAAATGCACCAACCAAACGCTCATGTTAATATTTTAAATGGTTTACAGAAGTAGTTATCAAAAAGAACCAGCTCTACGTGATTCTGAAGATAGTGAAAAAAAAAATAGGTTTTATTAAGTGGTTTTCGAGATGTAACCAGAGAATTTACGAACCATAGACTAACGAACATCCACAATAAAAAAATTATCGGACTTTCTTTTTTTTTGCATTAAAAACATCTGACACGTTCATTAGTGTTTCCTCTTTTAATCATGTGCTTTACGATAACATATTAGTGCGATGTGAAATAATAAATACGAGTTAATGTGAGTGAAGCGAGTGATTTAAAAAATTCGACAGTAGAGCCCAACCTCTCCGCTTCGCGTTCGAGGTGTGCAATTCTCCTGGTCTTCTAAATTTACAGGTTGAAATATTATTAATATGATGACGTGTCATTCCTATCCCCACGCCTTTAACAATTTTCTAGTAATTTGAAACCTTTAATTGTACATCAAGTGTTACATTATCCATTCAAAAGTACAATGCTGAACATAGGCCTCCCCTATAGATTTCCTCATATAGGGTATTTGTCATCGTTGCACATGCCTATCTCCTGTTTCATTTTTCTTTATTAGGATTCTCTTACACCATCACCACACAGTGTCTCTAATGC